ACTTTTTAGCACAGTCATGAATATTTAAAAACAATTTGTAGGTGGTATCGTCTCAATCAGGAGGTAAATTATTGCTATATTGACAATAATAAACTTTTGGATAGTCATAAACATATAGTAGAGTAGTGTGAACTTGCTTCTTGGTTGGACACGACGCAATGCCACGTTCAACTCTGCCTTCCTATTCTGCTCGTGCCTATTCGCTTTTCTGAACTTGGGCCTTTTCAAGGCGAGAGTGAATAGGCTTTATTTAGATGTACATGTTCCACCGTCGACGTCGGGTGCGTCTCAGTTGTTCGAAAATCAAATAAACTAATTTCAGAACATATACCGTTCATATAATATAATTTTCATTTGGACTAATTTCAGTTCCTATATTTTAACTTCATATAATTGTTGTTTGATATAACATTCACATTTTATAACTTTTTTTAAAATAAAGCTCATATCATATAACTGTCATTTCATATATTGTCAATTCTGATAATTTTCACATAGTATAATGTCATTTTTTATAAATAATAAAGTTAAACCCGGCTCGCCGTGGTACTTGTCTGTTCGATACTAGAGTGTAACTTTATGTTTTCAATAGTATAGTTTATATAGCTGAATCTTCGTTTCGACAAAATTATTATTGTTACACACTGGATTCCTTGGTGGTTTAAAAGAAAACAAATGTATTTCACATAGGTCAAATCTTGGTTGCGTCCTCTATTTAGTAGGTTAGGTTAGGTTAGTATATGAAAAAGCCGCACGAGCCGAGCGAGCGCAGCGAGCGTGCCGCGGTAGCGGCCGGCGAGTGCCAGAAGCGAATTTGTTTGCGTTTACGAACATAGTTTCAGGTCAAATTATAATTGATATACTATTAGTTTTAGGAATATCGTTTGTTGAAATTGAAATAAAAGAATTATACACATATAATCAGCATTTATTTAGTAAAACATAGGAAAAAATTAGTTTATATTCATAATTATTATAATTAATATTCATTAGAAATTTCTTTTTAAATTTAAGTTCGAAGCTATGCTTCTTAAAAATTGACATTCAGTATATTCGTCAATATTTTTCAAAATATTGTCTATGTTTTTGTTTGCATTTCCATTTCTTTTTTTCTTTTTTGGCGGAGTTTCCCCATTTAATATTTTTTCGATGTTGCCTAATATTACAAAACTTTCTTTTAATAGTTCATGTGCCAACTTATAAAATCCAGGGTTTTTAACATCTATCAATTGATTTATTCGGTGGTGCCATGACTCTGCACTATTTTGGGTCCTAGGTAACCCTTTTTTTTGTAACTCGGAAATACTCCACAAATGCGGTGGAAATTTTGGCATTGAAAATTTCATCACAGATCACAAAATTTTCTTCATGAATTTGTAAGCCATCATGGTGTATTGTAAAATAGACACTCGTAGGTTCCATAAAAACTGGTTTCCCCTTACTCTTCCCGCGATAAACAATTTGTCTCATGGCTGAAGTAGAGGGCAACTTGCTCAAAATCATTTGCTACTTGCGTATAATCAGGCGTTAGGTTAAATGATATTTATATAAATTGTTGTTATATTAACTGAGGTTTATAACTTATGATTGTTATTAGAAATGAGTGTTAGAGTACATGATTGTTATATAAAGTGAAATTATAATATTTAAGTTTATATTAAAAGTTTGTTATATGAAGTGAATTGTTATATTAAATGAGTTTATTTGAAATGAAATTATGACAATTGAGCGTTATGTTAAAAAAATTTATATGATATATTACACACCCGTCGACGTCATCTTCACTTTCCTTCAGGGGAGATGAAGGTCAAAGGCGCACTTATTTAAAAAAAAACTTAATAACTTCGTGTTTGATATCTGACCAGTCAGGCAACATCCAGGACCCCATAAAAGGATTTAACCTATATTAGTGGATAATGCTGTTACTACTAAGCAAGGCAAGCAAGCGCTAACCGTATTCCACAAATATGGCAACTAAATACTAAAAGACACTATGTCGTCCAGTACAGTAGATACAACTGTTTCTTTAGAACCCGTAAAAATGCGTATGTATAAGTAAAATATGCATATATAATATACACATGATAATATATTGAGTGCTGGCATTGGAGAATCGTCATGTGAAAGGTTCAATAAGAAAACGTCTTTCAGAATTACGTATATCAAATACTGAATGTAATATTGTTTCATTGATCTCTTTTGCAGACGGAGTCAATGGAACTTATCAAAAGAAGGGGAGAAACAGAATAAATTTAAAAAATACCTACGAAATAAAAGTAATATATCGTTTTTCAAATAAAATACGATTTTGTCATTTATGGCACCAGGGAATGACGTATATGGCTGGTATGTATACCATTTGGGAGCCATGCCATATACTTATTTTTTTGTCGAATTCGTCGCTTTAGAGCCAGCGGAAGCCTGCAGACGGGTGCATGGCGCGGGAGAGCATTGAATACGATTTTATGCTCGCCAGCGCGTCGTCGCGTACTGAACGGTGTTGTATATTTGGTAATAGGTATATAGATTCATGTAAAACTCTTGACCACACATTGGAAAAACTAAAACTATTTTTTTGTTTCTTAATTAATGTCTAGCAATAACGTGGTATGAATATTTTTCATTGTGAATCCATAATTGGTACACTCATGCTCTGACAGCATTTTGTATTTCCAAACTTCGATTATTTTATTATTAAATTTGAATAAGTTACATTAGAGGAACAGCATACACAAAACTTTTCAAAGTCAAAGTTAAATAATCTTTATTTCATGGGTAAGCAAATTACACTTAAAATCGTCGTACTGATTAAACTTTAGGTACCTACTGCTCATTCGTAAGGCAGATTCCCCTGAGAAGAATGAGCAAGAAACTCTAGGGGTTGCTCTTTGTAAATATATACATTTGGATATATTTATCATTACAATATTTAATTTAAACATCTTAAATCGAGAATACCTGATAGAACCAACGGGTTCTTTCACTACCAAGGATTTTTGTCATCCAAGTACGCAGAAGTTGTATAATAAACCTTTAGTTTTATACTAAATGTTTTTGTTTTTATAATAGTTTTAAACTTCATAAATGGCAAGTTTTGAATATCAATCGGAATCTTATTATAGAAGCGTATACATTGGCCCTTAAATGAATTTGAGACTTTATGAAGACGACTATTAAAAATAGCTGGTTATTTTTTATTCCTCGTGTTAATATTCTGTCTGACACTATTTTTTATAAAAAAAAAAATATTTTTCTTAACATAAATAACCATTTCATAAATGCATTGTAACATTAGTGTAAGAATTAAATATGACTTTAAAATGTTACTCGCATGTCTAAATAGACAATCGAATATGTAGTGATAGATACTAGATAATGCTAACAGAAGTAAAGTTGAGTCTTACCGTTAACTTTTCTAGTGAAGTGCGTATAGGTGCCTACAGATGCGATCGACATTGTCGATCGACCGTGTCGATTCGAGTCGATTAGGAGCCTACAGACATAATAGACATTGTCGATCGAGAATTATAGACGTTTTCGAGTTGTTTGGGAGTGCTTATTGAGAATGTGGCATTAATTTCTAAGTCCAAGATGGTTGCCAACAATTTTCAAAAAATTATTTTTGGTAATCCTTCTGGAAATGACATTTATATCTGAATACAGTCATGATGGCTGACAGGACTTTTCGCATTTCTAAATGCAAGATGGCGGGCACGATTTCTCAAATAATGGCAAGTTGGGTATGGGCGTTTTTGAGATATTTGGGGGTGCTCATCACGAATATAGCACTTATTTGTAAATCCAAGATGGCGGACACGATTTATCAAAAAAAAATGCAATATGGGTATCCTTTTCGAGGTATTTGGGGATGCTCATTACGAATATAGCACTCATTTCTAAATCCAAGATGGCGGGCACGTTTATTCGAATAATGGCAAGTTGAGTATCGTTTTCGAGGTATTTGGGGGTGCTCGTTACGAATATGGCACTTGTTTGTAAATCCAAGATGGTGGACAAGATTTATGAAAAAAATGCAACATGGATATCCTTTTCGAGGTATTTGGGGATGCTCATTAAGAATATGGCACTCATTTGTAAATCCAAGATGGCGGGCACGATTTTTCGAATAATGGCAAGTTGGGTATTGTTTAATAGGTATTTGGGGGTGCTCATTACGAATATGGCACTTGTCTGTAAATCCAAGATGGCTGACACGATTTTTCAAAAAAAAATGCAATATGTGTATGCTTTTCGACGTATTTGGGGGTGCTCATTACGAATATGGCACTCATTTCTAAATCCAAGATGGCGGGTACGATTTTTCGAATAATAGCAAGTTGGGTATCGTTTTCGAGGTGTTTGGGGGTCTTCATTACGAATATGGCACTTGTTTGTAAATCCAAGATGGCGGACACGATTAAAAAAAAATGCAATATGGTTATCCTTTTAGAGGTATTTGGGGATGCTCATTATGAATATGGCACTTATTTCTAAATCCAAGATGGAGGGCACGATTTTTCGAATAATGGCAAGTTGGGTATCGTTTTCGAGCTATTTGGGGATGCTATTACGAATACGGCACTCATTTCTGAATCCAAGATGGCAGGCACGATTTCTCAAAAAAAATGCAATATGGTTATCCTTTTCGAGGTATTTGCAAATTCGCAAATTCTCCGAATAATCTGATGCAGCAGGTTTAATGAACGATTGATTTTGTTCACATACTTTTTAGGCAGGCTTTCTTTAGCTGTCGATGTGTTGTTACAGTTCCTCTCTATTACCTGATTAATTGAAATATTTGTAAATTGAGTTTTGAATAGAATGATTAATGTCAGGAGATTGAATCCTGTCAATAAAAGCAGCTGTCAGCCAACAATTTGGTAATGGAGGATAGATGGCGCTGCCGTCCAAGTAACATCGACTCCGCGATTGTTTAAAGTATAAAAATTGAATTCGAAGTGTTTTGGCTTAAAGTACAAATCATTTAGTGTATTGGACCCCAAATATTCTGTGCAAATGTTATTTCGTTAAACTATAAACTGTGAAAGTGAATTTTTTACATTTTTTTAAACTGTGTTGTGGCGAATTGTTGACATCTGCTAATAGTCTTCTTATGGTTGTGTAGAACAAAGAACATTAAAAGTGGACGTTCGTTATCACTATCATTGAGATAATTGAGTGTTACAAGTTTGTTGGGAGATCCTTTTTATCAAAACCCCGTTGTAATTTTTCCCTAATACTTTATTATTTAAAAAGTGGGTGGACGTGCGGGCTTTTGCTTTGTCGCTCCTTAAAAAGCGCCATCTAGGAACAATCGATCGAACTTTAACGACATTGCGGATAGAATCATCGACCTGCGTTTTCGTTCCTTTTTGTGAACAAACCGGGGCGACAAGGTTCACTGTACGTTCGAAAGATGTCGCCACTAGTTACGAAAAATATGACGTGCGGTGGATGTTCGCAAGAAATTGTGAATAGACAATACCTAACATGTAAACATTGCTCTAAATACTATGATCTCCTGTGCGCAAATGTTAGTGAAAAGCGATTTCACAATACTATGACTGTGGAACATAGAAACAAATGGAAATGTCAGGAATGTGTAAGCAGGGAACCAAAGACTGATAACACGAACACACCGATCAAGCGTGATCTACCGCTACATTCTGACAGCAAGGAATGCTCTTCGAATGTGACATTGCGAAGTCGTGTTGCCCCGAAAAATCAGTCCCCTATTCCCTCATCGCCTCTGTCGCCTTCTCCACCAGCAAAACAAACCATTGAGTCTGAATTGGTCAATGAACTGCGACTGTTCAGAGAGGAGATGAAAGCTGAGTTGCGAGAATTTAAAATAGCCGTAACTGACTTGACCGCTGCTGTCAACATTTGTAACAGGCGGGTCGACGATCTCGCGGAGCGCCTGGAGATCGTAGAGCGTTTCCAGCGGGATGGATCGGCCATGGCCGCGTCTTCTCTTCAAAATGCAATAACTGAGCTCAAGCTGGAATTGAACGATCGCGATCAAGAACTATTGAGGAACGATATTGAGATTGCTGGAATTCCTGAACAAAACCATGAAAGGTACATTCACCTCGCGCTGACCGTTGCAACTAAACTAGGCGTAAATCTGGAGGAACGAGACATTGTAAGTGTGGAGCGAGCGGGGCCCGTGCGTCGCATGGAAGAAGCCGGGTCGCGACCGCGCCCGCGCCCTATCGTTGTGCGGCTCGCACGCCGAGCGCACCGTGACCAACTGCTGGAGGCCGCGCGCGTGCGCCGCGGGGCTACTACTGCAGGCCTAGGGGTCGATTCTGACACGCAACGTTTCTACGTCAATGAGAGGTTGACTCGCATGAACCGGCAACTTTTCTATAAAGCGCGTGGAGAAGCCTTACGCACTCAATGGAAATATGTATGGACACGAGAAGGGAAGATTTTTGTACGCAAGGAACATGGTTCACCGCGACATCGAATACGTACTGACGATGAATTAGTTAAAATTTTTGGTCAATGATACAGTTGGTACAATTCCTTCATTGCATTTTGTTAATAGCATTTATCGCCTTGAGAGACAATTATGTTTTTAAATTTTATAATATTTTGTTTCACGTTTTTAGTTATTGTTTTCTGTTGATTCTATATTGCGCTGTACGCCGTTGCTTTGAATGCTATTTTTTGTTAAGTATAAATTCCTTTATTAGTTGTGTGTTAAAACTATTTTTTGTATTGATGAGGGTAACAATTAAGTTGTTAGTATTATATATATTTTATTCAAGGCGCTTATTATATCCCATACGACTAACTTTGCTTTCACATAGTCGTATACACAAACACATACACGTAACTGTGACTTTACATAATGGTGCACACAAACACATAATTAACACTGATTGGCGACACGTAACACTTCTTTGCAAGTTCTTAGTACATGACAAGTTTCATCAAATTTCTTTTTCCATTGTTATACAATTTAAAAAAAGCAAAGGATTGACTATCGGGCTGCTAAACGCTGGATCTCTTGGTACGCGTCATGATGAGTTCCTCGTGGCCATGGAACGTTTCAACGTTGACGTCATGGCTATCAACGAGACCTGGTTGCACGCTGGCCAGGAGGGTCGAGCGCCCGCGCCTCCCGGGTATCGCCTGCGCCATGCCCCACGTCTGGCCAATATACGCTCTCGCGGTGGTGGCGTTGGGTTCTATCTCAAACACGGTATCAATACCCGCGTCATTACGCATCCACCTGCGCCGCCCGTGGAGCAGATGTGGTTGGGTCTTAATATTAATAATATTAAAATTACAATAGGTACAGCGTACCGCCCTCAATGGGTTAGCGTGGATGCTTTTCTCGATGCCCTGAGTGAAACTATTTCCTCACTCGGAAACTATGATTATCTTGTCCTTCTTGGGGATTTTAACATAAATCTTTTAGACGCGCAAGAACTCAAAACAATAAAATTGTCAAATTTTTTTAATTGCATGAATATTGATCAACTTGTGACGGAACCTACTCATTTCACAACGTACAGTGAAACATTAATTGACATAATTTGCTCTAATGCATGCATTGATAATGTTTCTGTTAATTATATTCCGGATCTAAGTGCTCACGCTTTTCTCACTTGTGAATTGAAAGTAAAAAAAGTTAAACTTCCGGTTAAACGTATTACCTATAGACCTTTAAAAGATATGGACCTTGTGACTTTTGACTCTGCTGTTAACTCTTTTCCATGGGAGAGCCTGGAATCTGACAATGTAAATGATATGGTTGAAGCCTTTAATAGAGAGATTTTGCATATATTCAATTCTTTTGCTCCAATAAAATCAGTTCAGATTAAAGACAGTTCACATCCTTGGATCACTCCCACAATAAAGAAAATGATGAAGTTACGGGACGAGGCTCACTCTAAGAGTAGACGTACTAAATTAGATGCACATAAAAACTTCTATAAAGATTTAAAAAACACTGTCTATTCCGCTATTCAAAGTGAGAAGTTTGCCTACTTTAGTCAACATATCAATACTATCAAAAATCCCCGCACATTGTGGATAAATATAAAAAAAAATGTGGCTGATTTTAAGAAAAAAAACTGTGTGCTACCCGTTAATTTACGTAACCCAAATAATATCAATCAACATTTTCTTGATTTACCTGGTAAAGACGATATCAGCATGTCTCTGTTAAATGATTTTGAATGCAATAGATTTGGTCCTGGAATTTTAACCTTAAAACCTATTTCCGAAACGACGGTCTTTAATATTATAAAATCGCTTTCCACGAATGCCCAGGGCGACGATGGTATCAATTTAAATATGATCCTGCTAACGTTACCCCGTACTTTATCAATAATTACAACGATTATAAACAAATCCATTACTACTGGTGTTTTCCCTGAACAATGGAAAATAGCTATTGTAAAACCAATACCCAAAAACCAGAATCCTAATAAGTATGAAGATCTTCGACCTATAAGTATTCTCCCACTTCTGTCAAAAATCCTGGAGAGAGTTGTCGGTACACAGATAACAGAGTTTGCTGAGACTTATAATATTCTGCCTAAGAAACAGTCTGGTTTCAGAAAGTCCCGCAGCACCGCAACTGCTCTCATAGATGTTGTAGATAATATCTTAGCCGCACGTGATACTGGAGAAGGATCTTTGCTGGTTTTTCTGGACTTTTCACGCGCATTTGACACTATAAATGTTAGGTTGCTCTTGTCTAAGTTGGCATTTTATGGTTTCGATAATTTGACACTGAAGTGGTTTGCGAGTTACCTCTCTGGCCGTACCCAATATATCAGTGTTAATAATGAAGACGGTACTAATTCCATATCCTCGTCGATGCCTGTTACAAGGGGACTCCCGCAAGGATCAATCCTTGGTCCAGTCCTTTTTATTATGTATAGTGCGGACATCATTAAATCTATTGTAAATTGTGATTACCATATATATGCAGACGATATTCAATTATATAAATCATTTAAGCCTAGTTCCACAGTAGTGGCCGTAGCCGAATTGAACGATGATTTATGTCGAATAGCCCACTGGTGTGAATCAAATAGTCTGGTTTTAAACTCTAGTAAATCCAAGTTCATGTTATTGGGTACGCGGAGCCAAATAGACCGCATTCAGAGTCAGAATCCTCAAGTTTCTGTAAGGGGTGACAACTTGGAACGTGTGTTTGAAGCCCGTAATTTGGGTCTTCTAATGGATGAACGGTTGCATTTTGAAGGACATGTACTCGAAACTATGCGCAGCTGTTTCTATAGATTAAAGGTACTTTATAAAATCCGCAACTTTCTTAGTGTAGACATGCGAATTAAGATGTGCGATGCCCTAATTCTATCAAAATTAAATTATGCGAGCACAGTAATGGGCGGATGTCTCCTAACCCGGACGAAGAAAGTGATTCAGCGGGTCCAGAATGCCTGTGCACGTTTCTGTTTCCCTGTTCCCCGTCGATCTCACATTACCCCGTTCTTAAATAAATTCAACCTCATGAACATGGAGGCGCGTCGTAAGTTACATCTTGCAAGTTTGCTTTTCGGAGTAATAAAGAATCGAGAGCCTTCTTACCTCTACGAAAAGCTTACGATTTCTCAACAGAATGTGCGATTTGCAGTTCGTCTTATGTGTCCTTCCCACCGCACGACTGCCTTTCGTGGCAGTTTCCGATTTGCTGCCACAAAATGTTGGAACGATATACCACCACCAATACGAAATTCCAAATCTGTTGCCTCTTTTAAATTAGCATATAAGAAGTTTTTATTATCAACTCAATTATAATCTCACGACATAAGGTAGTCGTGCGTTGCTTGAAAAGATCTTAAAAAGTGATCAGAGCCAATTTGTACAATGTGTTAACACTAATCACCTCACTTACACTACATATACTCACCTCACTTACACTACATATACTCACCTCACTTACACTACGTATACTCACCTCACTTACACTACATTATAATCACAATTTTGGTATTTATTTCATTTTTATTATTATGTATCTATGTTAGGATTAGTTTATGGTGTTGTTTAATATTTTAAGTTTTGATTTTTATTTGTAATTAAGTTTTATACCTAATCTTTATATTTCTTTTTTGTTTTATTTTACCTTTCCGCCTGCTTGGACGAGGCGCCATCTTTCTTTTTGTCAATTTATGGTGCCACTGAAAACCAGCGTAATGAGGCGTTCTTCAACGTCTCATTACACAAAGCTGAGTGGTGACCGTTTTGGTAACATATGATGTATAATTGTGTTTGTTTTGTATTATTTATTGTAAAATGTTGCCAAATAAATTATTTTTCTTTCTTTCTTTCTTTCTAATGTAACAGTAATCTGTTATCTGCCACTTAGAATAACTTGCAAAATAATGCCTATATTATGTCAAATAAAGTAGTTAGTAATTTAAAATAAAATTATAAATATCAACAGAATGGAATTTACTACAAGTCTATAATGAAATGGCAAACTATGTAATTACACATGCAAATTATGTCTCATATTGCTTTATTTCTTGCGAGACTCTTACTGAAGGGAATTCCATAATCGGATACCAGTGGGCATTGTTCCAGTTTTGAGGGGTGTGGGTGCTGATGAAATTGTAGGCACTTGGGACTTGTCAACTTTGTGTCTCGGAGTGACGAGAGCGGTGGCGGTGCCCCTCGGATGGTTTGCGATTTCAAATTCTGAATGGCAATGCGCAGCATCTGTGAATAGGCGTGTCGCTTGCCATTGGGCGCGCAACTTGTTCGTCCCGTCATTTTCCTTATATCATAAATAATACATATTTGTTAATTGTGGTCTAGGTAGTCAAGTTGCAAACCTATATGTATATCCATCCATCGCTATACATAATAATATTATTCTGAGTGTCATTTAAAGTAGTTACTAGGAGGGAGGTATTTTTAAATTTCTCACACGGTTCCTGCATCGGCAATAAAGAGGAATCAGAGTCTCACACAAGTGGGAATGATTGAGCTTTGCTTATTTAGGTGCAATTATATTGATCTTGGGATTTCTCCTTAAAAAGTCAAATCCAGCATTGCTTTACACGTAACTTACATAATTTAATAACTTACCCATAGCCAGTATGTTTTTTTTAATCTTCTGTTGAGTTGTATTTTCTTATATTTGTGCTATGAGCTAATTTTTTTAAATTCTAATTGATGGCACAATATGTCACTTTCATAACTTTGTCTATTTGTTAAGGTTTTGATTATGTACAATTACCAAATTCATGCAACAAATTTTGACATATAATTGAAGTAATATATACGATACGATACGCAAACAGACGGCCATTCTGCGCTATTGTTTCTATGGTAATAAATAATATAATTTACAAATGTTGTACATTAATTTGAAACTACAGAGACCAAACATTAAATCCACTAATATTGGCACATCTGCTTGCAGGTTGATTATAATGCATTGTAACCTTATACTTAAGACTTGTATAATTTCTAACATTCATTAGTAATTATATAAAATTTTTATAATTAATTATATAAAGTATGTACAGATATTGTGAGTCTATTTCTTGACCGGCATATAAATATATTCTGCATATTGCAGAATGCATGTGTACTATGATGCTTTTTTTTTGTTAAATTAACAAATTATTTCTATTATATTAAGCTTGAGATCACTCACGTTCATCTTACAGATAGTCTGATAAGCTGATTAGACGAGGTTTTAGGCAAAATAAATAATATATTACTTCAGGCATCATTGTTAATTTATTACAAGATCGTAGTATAAGTAATGGGCTCATTTCACTTTTTCAATGTTGTAAGTCTTGTTTAGACAACATCTATACCAACATCGTACCTAATATCTTTATGAATAAATCAACGTCTGATGACTGCGGTCAGTTTATTACTTTTAACATACCTTTCGTACAGCACAATATTCTTTAATTCACTTTGATAATTTAAGTTTAAAGTCATAACACTAATAATACTTTGAAATCCAGTAATTGGGCCACAATGGAAATGAAAGGACCTGTACACTAGTGACAGTTTTAGCGACTTTGCTAGAGAGTACGCGTTATTATTTATCTTCGTATTGTTGCAACTAAAGTGATGTCATGGCTAAGAGATAAAAGTTTCTATTCTATTAAGAACCTCTTTACACATAAATCTCAATAAATTTGATCGTTTAACTTATTTAATAAAATTTATATATACTTATATTATTTTTATATTATTGACATCTTCATGACACGACAGTAACTACTGTTATAATATGTAATCTTAAAAATTAAGCTATA